CACACGGGTGTGCTCCGGTGTTTTTTGCCTAACTTTCTGCCAACCCCTGCGACCTGCGCACGCATCGACGTTTGCTCCTCTTTTGCCCTGCACTACATGCCTGGAAAAACGACTCCTCGACTTGTGCCCGGTTGCCCCCGCTGCCACACGCCCTGCTGGACAGGACGCGCACGCGCCCGGCGCACGGCTAAGGGGAAGTCCAACCGATTCAACCCCGAACTAGTGCCGCTGTCCGAGCGCTACAGGATGGGATCGTGCTGCCCTCATCAGATAGCGTGGGAGCGTGGAGTCGCCAAAAGCGACCTGCTCCGCGCCAGTGTCGCGCGCCAGCCTCCTCCCCCCTCCCTCCTCCAGTGACACGCGCACTGCCGCACTCGGCCGCATTGCTCGAGTACTGTATCGTGTTACCCACTCGGAGGACCTGCACTACCGACGCTGCTGCAGTCCAGAGTCAAAGCACCGAGCAATTACATTTTGTCCCCCCATGAGCGAGTTGATGTTTGATGGTGTGAGATGCCAGAAAGATGTGCATTGTAGGTACTCCATTGAAGACCATTTTAGTCTATCTGCCCGCTAAGGCAAGAGGGGAAGTAAAGAGGAATAAAACCGGCAGATTGCCGAGCCGAAGCCTGCAAACGAGACGGTGGTCAAAACGTGCCGCAGGACCTCCGCCTTGTTCGGGAGCTGTGATTTGCCCATCTGTTTCCGGTTTGGTTCTTCTTTTCTTCCTTACGAACATAGACTGAAATTGTTTATTGTAGGCGTTTGGCGGATGCTCCATCGCGATATTATCATACTTGGCGGGCTGCACATTCAGTCACAAAGGATTAAAATTCAAAGAGAACCTGCGGGACTGCAGCCCAAAAGAAATTGCTCTCAATTAATCCGCGTCCGCCTGGCCCCCTTTTCCTCGGGCGCTCGGACCCCTCGCCCACCGCACGCCTCTCGGGGGGACCCCGGGCCCCTTTGCCCCCCGGTGGTTGGTGATGCCCGCAGCCCTGCCACCGGCCTGCATTCCTGCTTCCACGATCTTTGCTTTTTCGCGCGTCGCAATCGATTCTCACCTGCTGGGAGCGTGACAAGGCGCGGCCGTGGCCGGGCGGCGTGGCGGGGCGTGGCGGTGCAGAGGGGCTCTGACTAAGGAGGTAGTTGTCACCGCGACAGTGAGCCCCTTCCTCCCCCCTCCACCACCTCGGCCGGCGTTATCGCGCTGTCGCCAATCCATTTCCATTACACTCTACAGGCCGCCCCGGAACCACATTCAGCCCCGCTCCACTCTACTCTGTATGCTGAACCACGGGAGACAAAAGCCCGCCGTAAGATAAACAGGCGAGCGCACACACGCGTCAAGTCCTTTCGTGAACTCTTTCTTATCACCGCGTATACGTTCTGTGCAGACGACACGTCGCCGTCCTCTGAGCGCACACCGTCGTAACCCAGCCCAGGCACTCGGCCTCGCGGGTCGCCTACCCGCCGCGGCGGCTCCACGGCACGGAGGTGCGACATGGTCGAGGCGGCCCGCGGCCGCGGCCTCCTCCGTCGTGTGCAACGAGTGATGGCCCCTCGGTCGTCCCTCATTGCCTCCGCGTCTACGAAAGGTCGGGCGGCCCGCACGGCAGCCTAGTCCCATGGCGCTAGTGCGTGTGTATGAGTGTCTGTGTGTGTAAGAGAGAGGGAGAGAGGGAGGGGGGAAGAGAGAGACCGCGCTTGAGTGTGTCCGGCTGCCGCGTACTCGCGGCACGCACACACCGCCATCGGCGACCATCGGCCGTAAATAAGACTGCGCAGGACACTTGCACACGGGGACCCGTACGAGTTCGCTTTAATACCCGTATTAACTTACCGACCAAAACCATCAAAACGGCTGCTTCGGCCGTGGCACTGGGAATTTTGTTTTTCTTTTTCATTTTATGTGCGGCGTCACTCGGTGCGGCGGACGGTCGCGACATTTCGGGTCGTCATGTCAGTCGGGGTCGTCGTGGCGCCACCTGTCCCGGGTCCCGGCCCGGGTGCTACTCGCCGGTACTTCGCTGCCGGGCGGGCCGGCATCCGTCATGAAGCCCCCGTCCCCGCCTCATGGCGAGCCTCATGGCGGTTTTACGACGAGGTCCTCATGCGGTGTCCTCACGGCCGGCCGCGCCGTCGGGGCCCTCCTCTCGGCGCTCGACGACGACGACACGGCCTTCGCTATCTGCTCGTTATAAATGCGGTCGTTTAGGGGGACATCGGCCGCCGGCCGCCGCGCCAGGCTCCAGGAGGGGGGTGGTGGGGCGGAGAGGTCCACCGCACCGTACTACCTCTCTCTTTCTCTCTCTCTCATACTCTTTGCCGTTTTCTCTCAAATGTGAATACCGTGTCTTGCACTCTCCGCGAGGGCAGGGCGGGCAGCAGGAAGGGTGACCGTGGCGTGGCGCGCCGGAGACCTCACGGTAGATCCAGGGCATCGTGACATCGTGGTGTGGTGTGGGGCCGCCGGGGCCGCCGGGCACGGGGTCCCACAAAGTCCACCGCATTGGCTCAATTTCTCAACCATATTCCTTCGTTTCAGAAACTTTTACATTGATGGGCACACATTTGGCTCTGCCGGAGGCCCCGTTATACCAGTCGACCGGTCGACTCGTCTGCGGATCGGATCGCGTCGTGCGAGGCGCGACGTTCTCACGTCACGGCCGCCGCCGGAGATGGCACAGCGCAGCGCGTCCTCGCCTCGAGACAGCCTAGACAAATTTTGACGCGTCTGCACGGAGCCACCGCATCGCTCACCGTCGTTCTCACCGGACCCACCAGCGGGCCGGGCGAAGGGGACAGGGAGTTGCTGAGGCCAATGACGGACAAGTTCGTCGCCGGGCTCGGTGGGTGTTGCGGGTGCCCGTCGAGTCCGGCCGCCGTGGCGACTGCACACAGATCAGCGAGCCCCCGCTCCGCCCCGCCCCGCCCGGATAGGATGCAGGGCCAGGGCGTTTAGTCTTCCCCGGCGACGTGTCGTATCGCGTGGTTGTCGTGTCCCTTGGCGTGTCGCTCCGAGCGTGTTCCTGCACTAGCGCGACAAACAACACCTGTAGGAGGAGGAGGGGGGTGGGGGCGAGGGGGGCCCCGTTGGCGTTGGGCGTCCGTGAGACTGATGTGTCAAGCGTCCTCGTCGGTCCAGCGTGCGGGGCGTGGCGGGGTCCGGCGGCGACGCCGGTCCAGGGAGGAAGGCCTCATTAACTACGTAATGCCATTTACTGCCATTATATAAAACGAGACGGTGACGTCGTCAAGTGCGCACGTCGGTCATAAAGAGGTGACTATCCTGGACGGGACCGGACAGGACAGGACCGAGCCAATCAATCGGCTGGACCCGACCGGATGGCCGGCCACGTTGGCGGGGGCCCCCTGAGACAAAGCGCCTTGACCAAAATCATCGCTGGATGGAAAATAATACTCTAAAACAAAACAGGGATGTACATTTTTTATTTAAAATTTTTAACCCTCTGTCCCTTGATATGCGCGCCCTGCTCCCCCTTGCGCCCCAGGTTATGGAGGGACATGCATGCGGCGCGTTCATCGGCCAGACAATATGAGCGAGCTTTAACTG